CATGGTGTATGGCAGTGATGGTGTTACCACCTCTGCTTGTACTGGACACTTTGATGTGTTTGAATCACTCTTTTTCTTTTTACTCCGTTGTGTTGCCTTGTCAAAACCACCAATTGGTCTCCTCGACCCACGAATGGCTTTCTCCTTTACCTTTATGCCTCTTGCTTTACTCAGGCCAACATTTTCCTCTATACCTATGATAAAATATTTTTGAGATATCTAATTTAGATTATAACATAGTAGTCACTAGCATAAGTACTATTCAATTCAGAGTATGATACAAACCTGATTTATCCAAATCTTGATCAGGCCTTATACTCAAGTATTTCTCCACATTTTCTGCTAACTTTTGTGCATTGTTGGCAGCCATTAAGTATGTTTCATCAGATTCTGTAGCTCGAGAAGCTATTTTAACAAACATTCTGCACAAGTCTCTCCTGCGTGTTGATAACTTTATTTTAGGATCTTCTTGAGTACTGCAGTTGCTCTTTATATGTAGAGATTTTGCATCAATGGTCCATCTTTGTAGTATGTATTGCTTAGGAATTTCTTTTATATTGTTAACATCAAGTATCTTCAATGCATGGCAACATAAGATTCCGAGAAATTCAAACTTCTTGCAGCTGCACCTGACTTTATCTTCTGTTGGAGAAAATTTTACAATATGCTCATGGTGCTTACTGTGAACTTTTAATTTGTACACCATTTTAGCATCAATATCACCACAGTAGTATAGGTCACAGTTCAATGTTTGCAACACTTGTTCCTGAAACACTTTAAATATTGCTGGAGTATAAATTCTTGTTGCTTGCCTTAATATTGTCAAATCTGCTTTTGGCCATGGTGTACTTTGTGTTGTCTTAAAGTCATTTTTGACTTCCTCATATCTTTTGTCTGACAACAACCTGTCAAAGTGTTCCAAGAAGGTAAGTATGTCATATTTCACACTGATATAGCCCTTCAATTCATTGTTCATGCTCTCACTTCTCTGTGTTCCACTCATATCAGCAGAAAATGTGTTTCTCCCATACACTAATGCCCATTGCACTTTTTTCTGAAATAGCCTCTCAAGCCATTTGTTCTCCTGCAGATCATACTTTTCAAGCATTCTATTCCATGCATTTATAAATTCATCTTCCTCCTCTTTGTCATAAATACAATTCTGAAAATCTGCATTGAATTTCTTGTACTCCTTCACAACTCCAGCAAGGTGTTTGCAGGCATTTTGGTTCATATGCCAAACACAAATTCTATGATGACTTTCTGGCATGACTAACTTGATTGCTTTGGCCATTGCTGCGTCTTCACCGGTCAATATAGTCTGTGGCTTCTTTCCAGACATGGCTTTTAAAAATGTCTTGAAAAGCCAAACAAAACTATCAGCAGTTTCATCATACAAAAGTGCAGCACCAAAAACAACGCTTTTCTTATGATTATCCACACCAACAAGCAAACCAAATGGACGACCATCATTTAGTTTTCTATATGTTGTGTCAAAACAAAGAACATCACCAAAAACTTAATAATCAGCAATCATTTTAGAATCAGTCCAGAAAATATTTGTTATCAAGTCATCCTCATCAACCTGAATGGAATAGAAAAAATTAACATCTTCCGATGATTTTTTCTCCATATATTCCAAGACTCCCCCTGTGTCACCTTCGTTTACCTTCAGTGACCTCTTTGAATATAATCTATTCTTCATGTCTTCACGAGTAAATCCAAGATTCTCATATCCACCTGCTTCTTTTGCCATTAAATCAATAGTAGCCTTATTAGAAATGCCTACTGATTTTGCATTTTCAACACTTGCCATCTGTGCTTCAGTTATTTTCCTTTGAGATCTTAAGTAGAGGGCCTGACTTCCAGTAGCAAGAATGTGGTTATGCTCGTGCAAGAATTCTTATATGCAATACAATCCATCATCCCTAAGACTTATCTTCATGCATGCTCGACACATACATCGTGTTTCTGGCCTACTAAAACACTGACCGTAATTTGAAATTTGGTCTTCTCTTTTATCATGACCATGAGTACCTATTGTTAAATAAAACTAACTCAGTATATGAATTCTATATGAACACTGAACTTTGTAAATATAAGTTGGAACTAGTACCTGCACGAGAACAACAAAATGTCCGATTCTTTATTATGGTGGAATCTTTCACATAATGGCAACTGCTTCTTCGAATGCTAAAACCCATGTCCCGAGCATAGGCATTATAGAAATCATATGCCTCTTGTTCACTGTTGAATTTCATACCGATGATTGGTGCCTTCCCTTTGGAGGGATCTGCTTGTGGAGTAGCTTCGATTTTACTAGGATCCTGATTAATATACCAGTTTTTTATTTGAGACAAATTAGAAAAGAAGAAAAACTTTCATGAAACTTACAGAACAAAAAAAAAAGGGCTAATAGAAAAGAAGCAAAACTTCTATGAGATTTACTGAACGGAGATATGATGTGCTTGTAGTGATCAAGTCTCAATGATTACTAATAAAAGAAAGTGAAAACATTATGAAGTCTTACCGTCTCTAATTCCCCTTCCAGGTTACCATGAAAGCTTGTCCCTGGATGATGCAGTACAGACGTTTCAGCAGAGGCAGCTGGTTCCGTCGACATGGTTGTCACTTGTTCATGCAGTGAATCGGTGACCTTGATTGACCTTGGAAGATTAGATAGAGAGGCCATTGTTGTTGCGAAGAAGATGATTGTGATCCGATAATAATGTGCCATATGTAAAGCTTAATCTATTTTCTGAAAAACTGTATGATGGTTTGGCGCCTTAATTTTTATTTGGCGCCTTCTATTTGGCGCCTTTGTTTCCCTGGAGGGCCACGCTAATTAGGATTAATCGCTAACTACGTAATCTGGTGACTGACGGAAAGAATAATCCTGTAATCTCCATTTATGGTAGGGCCACACAGAAAGAATCGACAAACGGATGCCCTCCACGTGATATGGAACACGGATTGAAACACAACAGCGGAACAGTGAAGCCGCAGCCCTCCACTCCAGCCACCCCTCGAGCAACATCGTCGCCGCCACGCTCGCATCCCGGCTCATATCATATACTCCCTCCATTTCTAAATATTTGACACCGTTGATTTTTTTAAGCATATGTTTAACTGTTCGTTTTATTTAAAAAAATTGAAATATGTAAAACTATATGTGTACATATAAATGTATTTAACAATGAATCAAATGATAGTAAAAGAATTAATAATTACTTATTTTTTAAATAAGACAAACTGTCAAACATATTTAAAAAATTCAAAGGCGTTAAATATCTAAAAACGGATGGAGTATATAACCAATGGATATGAAAATAGAGCAATAAAAAGTATTTTTTTCCCCAAAAGCATGTGATAAACGCAACTGCCTATATATTTAACTGAAATCACACGACTAAGGATAACCTAGTGTATCATACTACCAAATGCTTCTGAAAT